GAGACCTCGGATCTAATGAGGATGGAATTCATGCATCCATTTAGTAAGAATTATTGGGTATCTGTTGTATTCTAAGGAATGTCATGTAGCATGTACTAACAGACCAAGTTGGGGGGTCAGTGTCCTAGGCAGTGGAGCCAGTCTAGGAGTGGAGACCCACTGGTACCTGCTGTGGAGAAGAGAAGGCTGGGAGGCCAGAATTAGGCTGAGAGCCAGGCAGCTCATGATGTGGAGTAGGTGATAGATTCTTTGAATTTGGAACATTGTGGGGCAAAACAGACCTGGAAGTAGTTGAAACTGAAAATTCAGTAATTTCTTTCAAAGAGCAGAAAAGTGATTCAGAAAGGAAGAGGAGAAGATGTCAAGCACACAGCTTATCTATTAGTTAGCTTCTTTTAGGGCCGTGGTGGCACCTGATGAGCCCGTAGAAAATATCTCTTGTGCTTCTTCAGGTCAGGTGAACTGTTTGATCACACACCTGCTCTACTTTATCAAAGTTAAAAATTTCAGGAGGATTTGGGAGACTATAAACTGTAAATTAGCCTTTCCTAATTCAGTCCAATCTTACCAGATAGGCAAGACTGGGTTTCTTTATTATAATTCAGCTCAACATCTTCTGGTTTAATCTTGAAACTTGAACTCCTTGGAAGAAGAGATATAGTAAGAAAAGAGGAAAAGTTAGAAAGAATAAAAATTAAGAAATGCTTTATAATCGGTTACCCATGTAGGAGTAGAACTAGGTTAAATGTTTCATCTCCTATAAACTCCTGTATCTCCCACTTACAATTTTGAATATCCTATAATACAGATGTTGCCTTTCATTGAGACCCCAAAAGCATTTTTCCAGGCAATGTCCCTGTATAGTACGTTACTTAACCTAGACAAGACGTACTGAAAACTAACCTTAATAATGACAAATTAGGCAACATACCATTTGCTCCAGTTTCTTTTCTCTTAATCATATTTCTAAAAAAAATCATATTTCTAGTGTTGTTGATCATAGTATTAAATAGAGTCAAAAGATCTGGAGGAGAGTCAGCAATTTCTGCTTGGCTTCTGACTGGTTTGATGGGGACCAAATTATTTAACGTCCCTAAGCCTTCATTTCCTTATTCAGAAAATGGAATATTAACACACTCTAATACCTTGCTGGATGATTTTAAAGGACATGAATGAAAACCACTGCAAATGGTATAAATACCAAGGAAGATAGGCAGGTCCTTTAATAAATCAGCATAGTAGAGCAAAGAATCTGTGCCAGAATCTAATTTTTCTCCTTATTGGCTCTGTGGCTTTGGGCAATTCATTTGAATTCCAAGTCTTGGTTTTTTCAATTGTAAAAGAAATATGGTATTTTCTGTTTCATTTTTTTATAAAGATTAAAATGACATATGTTATACTAAAGTATAAAGAATATATTAATGACTGTAATTTTTAATACTGTCATTAATACAGAATAAAATAATGAGATTTTAGCAAGGGGTAATCTCATAGCCAAACACATGTGAATTGATTTGGTTTTTGTTATAAAAGTATTAATATAATTTGACTTTAGGATGTCTTTATCCAGTCGTTTCAAGAATACTTTCATAGAAAATTTTCATCAGAAAATTCATTGATTTCTGTGGCACTGTCAAATTTAAGCAAGACATAATCCCTTAAAAATAAAACATGAAATTCAGTTACGTACCAAAAATAAATGAGTGCATCCTTAAAGCAAAGATCCTGGGGGGAGGGGCAAGATGGCGGAAGAGCAGGGTCCGCAAATCACCTGTCCCCACCAAATTACCTAGATAACCTTCAAACCATCCTGAAAATTTACGAATTCGGCCTGAGATGTAAAGAGAGACCAGCTGGAATGCTACAGTGAGAAGAGTCCGCGCTTCTATCAAGGTAGGAAGACGGGGGAAAAGAAATAAAGGAACAAAAGGCCTCCGAGGGGGAGGGGCCCCGCGAGGAGCCGGGCTGAGGCCGGGGCGAGTGTCCCCAGGACAGGAGAGCCCCGTCCCGGAGGAGCAGGAGCTGCACCAACCTTCCCGGGCGGGCGGAAAGGGGCTCGCAGGGAGTTGGAGCAGGACCCAGGAGGGCGGGGATGCCCTCGGGCTCCCGGGGACACTAACAGACACCTGCGAGCGCAGGAGAGTGCGCCGAGCTCCCTAAGGGCTGCAGCGCCCACGGCGGGGCCGGAGCAGCTCGGAGGGGCTCGGGCGGCGGCTCCGCGGAGGGAGCTGCGGGGCGGGAGCGCGAATCCACCAGCGCAGGCCCCGGAGCACAGGGCGCCGGGACACAGCCCAGGATCCGGCCTCCCCCGGGACAGGCAGAGGCCGGGAGGGCCCAGGACAGCGAGGACGCTCCTGCCCGGAGCTGAGCAGATCAGCGGCCCCGCCCCGGAGCCTCCAGGCCCTGCGGACGGAGAGCCGAGAGCCCCGAGCCCCGTAGTTCCTGCGGAGGCTGAATCCAGGCTTCCAGAGTTGCCATAGCAACTGCGACTGTTCCTCCTGGGGCCTGACGGGGTAAACAACCCCCGCTGAGCCCTGCAGCAGGCAGGGGCAGAGCAGCTCCCCCAAGTGCTAACACCTGAAAATCAGCGCAACAGGCCCCTCCCCCAGAAGACCAGCTGGACGGACCAGTGATACTCCCCCGTGTTCCAATACAACTTGTTTTTGGCCACTCTGCACTGAGCAAAATGACTAGAAGGAAAACCTCACCTCAAAAGAAAGAATCAGAAACAGCCCTCTCTCCCACAGAGTTACAAAATCTGGATTACACTTCAATGTCAGAAAGCCAATTCAGAAGCACTATTCTACAGCTACTGGTGGCTCTAGAAAAAAGCATTAAGGCCTCACGAGACTTCATGACTGCAGAATTTAGATCCAATCAGGCAGAAATTAAAAATCAATTGAATGAGATGCAATCCAAACTAGAAGTCCTAACGACGAGGGTTAACGAGGTGGAAGAACGAGTGAGTGACATAGAAGACAAGTTAATGGCAAAGAGGGAAACTGAGGAAAAAAGAGATAAACAATTAAAGAACCATGAAGACAGATTAAGGCAAATAAATGACACTCTAAGGAAGAAAAACCTACGTTTAATTGGGGTTCCCGAGGGCGCCGAAAGGGACAGAGGGCCAGAATATGTATTTGAACAAATCCTAGCTGAAAACTTTCCCAATCTGGGAAGGGAAACAGGCATTCAGATCCAGGAAATAGAGAGATCCCCCCCTAAAATCAATAAAAACCGTTCAACACCTCGACATCTAATAGTGAAGCTTGCAAATTCCAAAGATAAAGAGAAGATCCTTAAAGCAGCAAGAGACAAGAAGTCCCTGACTTTCATGGGGAGGAATATTAGGGTAACAGCAGACCTCTCCACAGAGACCTGGCAGGCCAGAAAGGGCTGGCAGGATATATTCAGGGTCCTAAATGAGAAGAACATGCAACCAAGAATACTTTATCCAGCAAGGCTCTCATTCAAAATGGAAGGAGAGATAAAGAGCTTCCAAGACAGGCAGGAACTGAAAGAATATGTGACCTCCAAACCAGCTCTGCAAGAAATTTTAAGGGGGACTCTTAAAACTCCCCTTTAAGAAGAAGTTCAAGTAACTCTGAACATGAATGGGCTTAATGACCCCATCAAAAGGCGCAGAGTTTCAGACTGGATAAAAAAACAGGACCCATCTATTTGCTGTCTACAAGAGACTCATTTTAGACAGAATGACACCTACAACCTGAAAATAAAAGGTTGGAGAACCATTTACCATTCAAATGGTTCTCAAAATATACCCTAAAAACTACAGAACACTTCTGAAAGAAATTGAGGAAGACACAAAGAGTTGGAAAAATATTCCATGCTCATGGATTGGCAGAATTAATATTGTGAAAATGTCAATGTTACCCAGGGCAATTTACACGTATAATGCAATCCCTATCAAAATACCATGGACTTTCTTCAGAGACTTAGAACAAATTATTTTAAGATTTGTGTGGAATCAGAAAAGACCCCAAACAGCCAGGGGAATTTTAAAAAAAGAAAACCATATCTGGGGGCATCACAATGCCAGATTTCAGGTTGTACTACAAAGCTGTGTCCATCAAGACAGTGTGGTACTGGCACAAAAACAGACATATAGATCAATGGAACAGAACAGAGAACCCAGAAGTGGACCCTGAACTTTATGCTCAACTAATATACGATAAAGGAGGAAAGACGATCCACTAGAAGAAAGACAGTCTCTTCAATAAATGGTGCTGGGAAAATTGGACATCCACATGCAGAAGAATGAAACTGGACCACTCTCTTGCACCATACACAAAGATAAACTCAAAATAGATGAAAGATCTAAATGTGAGACAAGATTCCATCAAAATCCCAGAGAAGAACTCAGGCAACACCCTTTTTTAACTTGGCCACAGTAACCGGAGAAGGACAAACAGTGTATGTTCTCATTCATTTGGGGAATATGAATAATAGCGAAAGGGAATATAAGGGAAGGGAGAAGAAATGTGTGAGAAATATCAGAAAGGGAGACAGAACATAGAGACTCCTAACTCTGGGAAATGAACTGGGGGTGGTGGAGGGGGAGGAGGGTGGGGGGTGGGGGTGAATGGGTGACGGGCACTGAGGGGTACACTTGACGGGATGAGCACTGGGTGTTATTCTGTATGTTGGTAAATTGAACACCAATAAAAATTAATTTATATAAAAAAAAAAAAGCAAAGATCCTTTGTAAATTTTTTTTAACTAAATCCATACAAAAATGGAATGGTCCGTTTAGATTCATAATTTATCAGCTTAATACTCCCTTGAATTGAGAGAAATATGGGTTGTACACATAGAGATAAGGTTCTAATAAAAAGGTTTAGTTAAGTAAATATGATTCAGTTTTATATTGAGATTGTTATCACTCAGAGGAGTTACTTTTTTGCATTTTTTCTATAAAATTATTCTTCATTTATACTGCTTAAATTCTAATGTTTTTTAACCTTTTATTTCCTTGCAAGATAATAGTTGGAGAAACTGCTGTGTTTTGCCTACAACTGGCCACACGGGATTTTGAAAACCAGGAGAAAACTATTTTAACTGGAGATTGTTGCTATATAAATCCACTGGTGCGGCGAACTGTACGATTTCTGGGTATGTGTTCATTGAATTTTTTTTATTGTTGCTGCAATCATATTTATGTGTAAGCTAACCCCTAAAATGATCAGCATTTTAACTCTATGCAAATACTGGATTATATTTTATATGAAATGTTTTAGTTTGGCTTTAAAAATAACATTGCATACTACGTTCATGTGGCTCCACCTCAGGTATCATTTCCATATTACTTTAAGAAAAAAAATAACACTACACTTGGATGTTTAATATTCATTAAGAAACTAAAAATTATATAATTAAAAGAAATTATTTACTGTGTTTATGAAATTTCAGAAACAATGCTTGGGGAGAAATGATAATCTAGTTAGACTGTTCAGTGTCATGAAAAACAAGAAAAATAGCTTGGCAAAGAAAAGGTATGTTGTATTCGTTAACTGCCAGATGTAGCACTACCTCTGAGCTTTTTTCTTTTTAATGTGAACAAAAACATATCAGTGATTTTATTAGAGGAAAAGATTTACTATTACATATTGTACACCTGAAACTAACATAACATTGTATGTTAAATATACTGGAATTAAATTTTAAAAAATAAAATTAAAACAAATTTTAGAAAAAGATTAACTGACTTTAACCTTCAGTCTGAAATTCTAGCTCTAATACATATAAGCATTGATGAATTAATGCAAATCATTTCAATTCAATAGAAATTTGGCCAAGACAAATTTTTTAACTGACACAATAAAGTTTAATATAAATTATCATTTCCTGTATTTATCAGCTAAAAGTATGTCTTTATATACTAATAAAATTTAAGATAAATTTTGACTTGTGTTTAGATTAAGGTACTGTATCCTTCAATATATATTTCATATCAATGGGATCAAGATGAAGACTTTGGAGATATTATGCACAGATCACCTAATCTATATATAAACCCACTTAAAGATTAATCAGATGTCATCATACCTTTGAATCTCTCTAAAGACAAAAGGTCTCCTTATCTCAGACTGTTCTTTCTATTGCCATCAAGTTATACATCTCCAAAGCCCTCATTTATACTGTTGAAGTAATAACTTTTATATGAAACTTTAAAAAGCTTTTTTTCACATGCATCAATACTCCGTAATCTTTGCATCATGGGTCTTTTAATAAAAAAAATAAGCAATAATATACTCAAAACTAAAAATGATGAAATTGACACTTTCCAAAAATACTGTTAAAGCAAATTTTATTAAGCCTACTTAATTAAGTAGGTATGTTTTGCATTTGCACATGTATTTCTAAGGAATTATGGCACAAAATAAAGCATACTTTAAATCTCCATATGTTTCTTATTATGTGATTTTATAAAATATTTAGGAGTGCTTGATTTGTTTCTTTTCCCTTGTTCATAATGATCTGTGTATTTCTAGTTGTTTAAAATGGGAAGTTTATAAGCAAAACATTACTACATAATAGGGCATCATTCTTTGTAGGGACTTTATCCTGGTGGTCAGCACTGTGGATACACTCATGGGATCTCACTTTAATAAGTATCTTTGTAGTACAATATTGGCTTTGGGCCTAATGCAATGAATATTTTAATTTAAAAGCACATTTGGGAACTTTACAAGTATCAAGAGATATTTCCGTATCCTTATCAAATATTTCTCTCTATTTTACACAGGAAACCTTATTACAGCAGATAAAAAGAAGGGTTTGGTTAAATAAGATGAGTACATCTTAGTCTAAATTTCAAGGGAGTAGAGATGAAGACTTGCCATTTAGGTTCCTGTGCTGGGGCATGATGATTGGAAGGAGAGGTTACGTACAAGAGCATTTTATTGAGCTCCATTCTCTTTCATTTCTCTGCCTCTCCTAAGTTTCTACTTTTGATAGCATTACTTGTATGACTCATGACATGCTGGGAAGATGTAAAGAAAGAGCTTTTACTATTTTCTTTTAACATTTTTAGATAAAGAACTAAGGTTTTTGTTTCACGACCATTTGCATACACAGTTTTGCTATGTGCAGATTTATGTGCATCAGCCTTTTATAATTTTATATTTCAAAAATTAAAAGGATAACCATGCTTCTGATGCTGGAAAATTATTTGATCCTGCACAACAAAATTATTTGTTTCCTGTATAACAGCCAATAATTAAGTATAAAGGTCTAACAAATAAGCAATCCAGAAATCTATGACTAAAAGATAAGTGTCTGATTATTCTAATAGAACCATATGACTGTTTAATGAACAAACGGTTTGGAAAGTATTCTGTCTCTAATCATTTATAAAGTAAAAATACCTGATTTGAATATTATTTCCCTAAATTAAAAATAATAGATTTTTTCACATTGGTACCATATCCTCAAAGGTTGTATCTGTCAGTTTAGTTGAAAATGATACTAAGGAATTTATTTTGCCTACTCTACCTAAAGAGAAAGGTAAATTTTGATTCTAATGACCAATGATATTGAATTTAGAAAGAAATTTTTAAAAATTGAGTAAATTGTCACATTCCTTTCAAGGGACAAAAAAAAAAAATCCCTGTATACCTAATTTTCTACCTTCCGATTACCAAAACAAATAAATGTCAATGCTATAAAGATAATTGACAAATTATCATTTCGATTGCATTATTATTTATGAAATTGCCCCATATTTGATAAATTAAAATACAAACATAAAATATAAGGTGGGACTAAGTTACTAGCTGTTATGTGACTTTTTAAAATATATTTGTGAAAGCAGGTTAAAAACTAATCTGAACCATTCTTCTTAAGATATTCCGTGATATTTAAATGAAAGCTAATGGCATTGGATTTTACTGCTAATTGGCACCTCCAACAGAGTTAACATCAGTCTGGATGGGTTTAAGAGGCATAATCAAAGGGAGACAACTGCTTGGCTTTATGTTTGTCAGATGCAAAATATTTTCAAAATAGGGAAAATAAAGATTGCCAACATTAGTACAAGGTGAGAGACGGAGCCCTCTCCAAAGAAGCATGTCTCCTTGTTAAAAACCACATTACCCAACTATAGTCTTCTTTATCTTATGTCTTACAAACCTGCCATGCATAAAATTGTAGCCAGTGGTAGCGCGATATGTTAAATGATTTAACACTCTCATCACTCCAGAAAGCAAAGAGCTGGAAAGAAGTAAAATGGAAGGAACCATATGTATGTACGTATATGTATGAATGTATGAATTATTTTGTAGTTTCCAAAATGTTGCCATGTTGGCTTATTATAGACTGCAATACAAAAAAAACAAAACAAAACAAAACAAAAAAAACAAAAACAAAAAAAACCCAGAAAAATAACAAAAAACAGAGTTACAATGGTTTGTTTTCTTCCTCAGGTATTTATACATTTGGGCTATTTGCTACAGATATCTTTGTAAATGCGGGGCAAGTGGTTACAGGGAATCTGGCTCCACATTTCCTTGCCCTGTGTAAGCCCAACTATACAGCACTCGGATGTCAGCAGTATACACAATTCATCAGTGGGGAGGAGGCCTGCACGGGCAACCCAGATCTCATCATGAGGGCAAGGAAAACGTTTCCATCCAAAGAAGCGGCTCTCAGCGTCTATGCAGCTATGTATCTGACGGTAAGCAAGGATTATTAACCAGTTTTAGTCTATCTGTTAATTCTTCCAGTGAGGAAATTATTTTTTTCTGCCATAATGGAAGTCACATTAACAGCTTTCTGTAGGCCACTTAATTTATTTTTAATAATAGCTGTTTGTACTGCGGATAAAATTAAGTCAGTTGACTCTCATGAGATTATGTGTGGGTAGTTGGTTGTATTAAAAAATATAGCCATTAGCATTTCTATTTGAGAATATGTTTATCTTTATGTTAAATAGGGCTTAATGGAAACAAATTTGTCCCGTAGCAGTCCCCATAATCTTGTAATAACCCAATTAAGAAAACTATCCTGGCCTCTTAGCTGCCTACTCAAGCTCTAATATTTTCTGGTGGAGGTGGGGAAAAGAGAACTCTTTTTTTAAGAAAGATTTTTGTTTGGTTATTGGTAACTATTTCATCATAATGTCTCAACTAGTTTTAATATTTTCTCCGAGAACTAGCCAAAATGTCCTTATAAATTATGTTTTTCCCTTTTATTCTTGAGTCTTTGCCATCATTTCAGAGGTGAGAGCCAGGCTTCCACTGCAGCTGTCCTGGACCTCTAGGTGGAAGTAAATGATCATGGTTGAGCACTTTACTGGATTTGCAGGAGTAGATAGAAGGGCAGCCTTGACAGGCAGTTTTTGGCCCCAGAATCCTGCCATCAGCCCTCCCCTCTATTACCAGGATCTGCCTGTAACTATGGAGCTGGACTCCAAAAGTGTGCTCTGTAGGCTTTGCCATGGCTACAGTAAGAAGTTCAGAGAATTGAAAAGACTTTTGGGGTTCTCCATTCCAGCAATGCCAATAGCTGTTTTCTTCTGTTTTCAGCTCACTGACGAGAGATCTCAGGACCTAAATGCAACCAAATTTGGTCATTACTGATGACTTAAAAAAATTAATTCTACCCACAAGGAGTTTTTTGATTATGGAAATATTTCTGATAGTATTGATGCAATCATGCCGGCTTATCTCTAAAAAGCAGAGAGAATCCACAGTAACACCCTATGACACCTCTCCTTGAGATTGGAAATAAAATTACTAAATAAGCAACAATTTAGGGGGAAAATACAGCACTGTACATACCACTCACAATGGCAGGATAATTTCGGAAGCCATAAGCATATGCATTTTAACATTTCTGAAGTTTTCTAGCTGAGGCAATTCTACCCCTCGCAGCCCAGACTTTCAAAAATCCCATCAAAAAAGGCTTTCTGGAGTTAAAGATCGAATCTCATCCTATCCATTTTCTCTTCCACAGTCTTCTGACGTCTGCTGCACCTCCCTTAGTCCCCTCTCAGTGTGCTCCCAACTCTGCTCCTCCCATTTCTCCTGATTTCTTTATCCCATCAGCTTTGCTTTCTGCTTTCCATTCTAATGTAATTCCAACTTGATATGAAATCTGTTTATCCACGCACATTCTTTCTATTCATTAAATTGCTTGACTGCATGTCCCACCTCTCTTAAAATATGAAGCATTCAGCCTTAAAATGAAGATTTTAAAACTTGAGTGAATCAGAAGTCACAAAATACTTTTCATTCACTGTCATCACATCTAAATCTGACATTGTTATTTGTATCCGAGTATGAATTGCAAATGTCTGCATATACATATGTGATCAAGCCAATGACTTGAGACCAATTCCAGAATACTCTCCGAACCCAAATCCTATTACATGATTATTTTAGCACTAATAGATGATAGATTTTGCTGGCAAACCAGGGTTTGCCAGTGGTGGTGAATGTGCTAGTATTATAAATACTTGATATTTTTGTCCTGCCAAAATCGTGTTTTCAAAGGCATTGCTTTGGGAGAAGGTATTATCCTTTGAAGTCCCAGAGAAATCTTCATATCTTGTCTTGCCTCTCGTCAGCTGCATGTGTTTTAGCAACTTCTTATATATATAATTATATGATAATTTATGTAGTAATTTATGTAGTAATTGATTATTTGTACTGATTTATAGAATCCTCATAAAAACTTCTTGATGTAGTATTATGATGCCCATTTTACAGGTGAGGACACTCAGAAAGCGAAGCAGCCTGTTCCAAATCCATAGAATCACCCATCTTCCTGGCTACAATGATTCCAAATATTCCAGAAAAGGACTATTAAATCATATTAGCTCTAATATGTGCATGGTCAGCTGAATTTCCTCCTGCTGCCACATAACCTAAGTAACCTTTATGCGTAAAGGTTACGGCCAAAGGTTCAGATGGTAGATATGTTTAGAGAAAAAAAACATTTAATAACACTCCAGCACTCGGAAATCTTCTATCACTAAACAGTGGTTTGGACTAAAAGTCAGGATTCCTACTTGTAATTACATTGCAGAGTACCTCTGTCTTTTTAACAATAGATTCTGTTCTCTGCTAACTGCTTTTCTCTCTTCCCTACCATCCCTTTATGAGTGTGTGAGTGTGGGTGGCTGCTATGGCAACTCTGAATATAACTCCTGCTGCAAATGTAGGCATTACAGTCAGGTTTTACTGTTATATTTGAACCCTTATACATATATATTTCTTCCCAGCTTCACTAGAGACACCTTGGGAAAACTTTATAATAGAAATGTTGGGGTGTTTCAACACCCCATCTCGTGAAATACTTGCCAGAATTTTGATGAGTAGGTAAATAGGAAAACAGCTGTATATTCAGTATTTTCTGTGGAAACAGGCTTATTGCTGTATTTAGGTAGAGATAAATTTGTTTAATGTTGTATAGGTGTTATAAACATACGTAAATACATAAAATAAATAAGCTCTATTATGAAGTCTTTGAATAAGAACTGAGGCATATTTTTCTGATGTTTCTCTTTGTGGATTAGTCAATAAAATTAAGGAACTTGAAGTCTCCCTTAGCATTTGACTTTAATTAAGGCTTTGGGGATAATTTGATAACAGAGTTGTTCTCTTTTGCTTTACTGAGAACTTCCAGGGGAAAAAAAATATATATCTCTATGCCTATTTTTGCAAATGTTGTTGGATTCCCAAGAAAACAGTTCTGAAGGCTATTTAACCCTCAACCATTAAATTTATAATTCAGTGTTAAGTCACGTTAGAATAATACTTAAATTTAACTTTGTGTTATTCATTTCATATAAAACGAGAAGTTTTTCTAATTAAAGTCAAATGAACTTCAAAGTTGAGAATGAGAAATAATGTTTGGTGACTTTCCAGTGAACCTCATAAGCCAGTGAAACAGAAAGACCTAAAATAATCTCTTTAGGTTACTTCCAATTCTGGCCTTATGTTGATTTTTCTGAAAATCTTTAGAAAAAGAAAGAAAGAAAAGAAAGAAGAAGAAAGAAAGAAAGAAAGAAAGAAAGAAAGAAAGAAAGAAAGAGAAAGAGTCAGCTATGCTTGTTGGCCTTTTTCCATCATCTTTTGCTGTAAACAAACCATCCTAACCCTCAAAACAAGAATTTGCTATTCTCAGGATTCTGTGAAGGTGATCTGTGGTTTTACTGGTAGTCAAACCTTGCTTCTCTCATGGGTTGTGTTTAGCTGGTGGGGGGAGGGAGGCGCTGGGACAGCTCAGTAGCCAGGCCTTGCTCCTTTCTCAAGAGATTTTCCCTGAGAGACTCTGAGAGCAGCCCCTCCTTTATTTTTATTTTTTTAAGATTTTATTTATTTATTCATGAGAGACAGAGAGAGAGAGAGAGAGAGAGAGGCAGAGGGAGAAGCAGGCTCCATGCAGGGAGCTCGATGTGGGACTCGATCCCGGGACCGTGGGATCACTCCCTGAGCAGAAAGCAGATGCTTAACCGCTTGATCGCTGAGCCACCCAGGCGTCCCCAGCCCCTCCTTTAGTAACATTTTCCCTAGTCTATATAGGGGAATGCACAGGTCCTCAATCTGGGGTACAGGAATTTGGGGAACGCATGGCAACTTGCCTGCAGCATTTAATGTCATGAGACTGGACAGGGATTGTGTTTGGTGGAGAACCATCAGGGTGGGTAAAAAGAAAAGCTCTGGGTTACCTTCAATATACTTGTCTTGAATGACTGATGAGATCTGGCTGCCATCAGAAAGCCATTCCTCTAAATCTTCCCTGCTCAGAAGTAATTTAATGCTGAAATGTATAAGATCCCTGTGCTCTAGATTTCAAATGAGCAAATTTGTGTCTGGTAGATAATCTATCAAACAGTATTTATTGAGCACCCACTTATACTTTGACTGCTCTGCTATTACCGCGACTACTGCTGCTGTGACCACTATTATTAGTCGATTGACATTTGTCCTGTCAGCCTTCAGCTAAGTGTCATAGGGGGCAGGGAGGTTACTAAAGACATCTGCAAAGTACCCATTGAGTTCCAATGTTTTCATTACCAAGGACCCCTTTTATAATTTACCGTCTTCTTGTCCCACATTCCTCCATGAACTTTGTATTTCTAAATCTTCTATCTAATATAATGCTTTCCAATCCCAACTTAGGCCCAGATATTGAACAGTGGCCCATAATAATAAAAGTAGAATTATGTTGTTTTGAAATTGTACACATACAGTTATTAAAATCGCACACATACAACTATTAAATAACAAGCGTAAATGACTAAAGACACATGTATACTCTGCATCTTTACCATAGTTTTCCCTGGCTTCTGTAAGTGAGACTTATGATTGGGTATACTGTGATTGACCAATGGCTTTATAATGGTGTCTGGTTTTCCAGTCACATCCCAGAAATTCCTGCGTCTTCCACAATGCATCAGAACCACTAAGCAGCGCGAGATCAACAGTGTTGCCAAATGACTTAATATAGTTCCGGCCAAAAGTAAAGAGTACTGACATTTTAGTTAGTGCATGTGGGCTTATTGTGGGTAAATATACTATTCTATTAAGCTCTTTGAAATATTGAAAAATATGTCGTAGAATTCCATTAATATGTCTGGAGTTCCTTATGTGTTAACAAATTCCAGGTTGGAGATTCCTGGCAACATTTGTACATCCTATTTAGGAAAACAGAATTTACTGTCATAGG